CTTTGCAACCAGTCGAGCCTTGAACTTTTCCCTTTTCTTTTTTTGATACTGCTGGTTTCCTTTTGTAGATTCATTTGTACCCAATAGCCTTCTTTCCCTCTGGAAGCTGAACTAGCTCCCAAGTGCGATTTTTCTGCAAAGATTCCATTTCCTCAACCATTGCACCCATTCATTTCTCTTTCTCCTGGCTAGTGATAGCTCCTTGAAAAGTGGCTGGATCATCGTTGCTGATCAAGAGACCAAGTCTTCATAACCCAATCTGCTAGGAGGTCTTACATTGGTGCGTCTCTGTCTATCTCTGGCTAGATTGTAATTCTGCAGATCATCTGGAATAGAATCACCAGGAGTTGGATTTGAACTTTCACCTCTCTCAGAAGCTACTGGCTGTTGTTCTAAATCCATCTGCACTGCATCTGAATTGGAACTGTTCCCTGACACCTTGTCTTGATTCTGCTGTAACATAAACTGCTCATCAAAAACTGCATCTCTGCTGATCACCATCTTCTTTGCAATCAGGTTCCAAAACTTGTATCCTTTCACACCTTTCTTGTAGCCCAGAAAGATGCACTTCTTGGATTTTGCATCAAGTTTTGTTCTTTCATCTCCAGGTACATGCACATAAGCAGGACAACCAAAAATTCGTAAATGATCAAATTTAACTGGATTACATGTCCATACCTCTTCTGCGACCTTGCCACCTAATGACGCTCGAGGTGATCTATTGATGAGATAACATGTCATATCCAGCCCCTTAGGAGAAAAATGTCTGGGAGTTACACCTGCACAACTGTGGGTTAGGCCACCATGCTTCTCTAGCAACTACAAACATTCAATAAGTCCAAGCAATGCAAGAACTTGTTGATAGTAACTGGCTTGGTTATCAGTTGCATTCTCATCAGTATGAACCTTCTGCAACAGTATCTCCCAGAAGCAATCAACTCTCTGATCTTGTGATACCTGACAGATGCACTTCTTGGATTTTCCCCTGCACCCCAAAAGTGCATATGTCTGAATATCCAAAAGTGCATTTGTCTGAATATCTCTGATACCACTTGTTGAGAAAATTAGGGCGAATAAAATAGTAATCGACACAAATCCAAAAGAACACAAAGATTTAACGAGGTTCGGCAAAGATGCTGACGTCCTCGGGAGCAGAGCGGCGAGTTCCTTTCAATATTCATAAAAGGGTTTACAGAAATTAGGGATACCTCCTGGGGTTACTATTAGGCCTATTTATAACCTCAGGAGTAAACCCTAGGCACAATATGTAATTACAACATTAGCCCTATATCATACCGTAGGGCTTTGCCCCCGCACTCCAACCCACGTAACTTCCCAATTTGGACAAATTCTTCTGATCTGCTTCGCTCCGCTTCGATCCAACGTCTGTCCCGATATGGTATATGAGCCATACCATAACAGAGCCAATGTTAATCCCAAAGCTGACAAGAGGTTGTCACCAAGCCAATGTCCACATAGCAAAAGACGTCCAGATGGTCCAAGCTCGAGACTGCGGAAAGACTCAACTTCTTAATATTATCAGTCATCTCACTGGTGCCTCAGAAACTCTTAATCAAGGATAGACAAGCAACCATGTCAAAAGAAATCAAAATGATCTCTCCGACTCTTCGTGTTGGGGAGTGAGCTACTTATCAGATTACAGTGATTTACCATCTGCCCAATAACTACACCTCATTTAGCTGACAAGTGCCCCTCACTAGAGATCGACGATTGACAATTAGAACAAATTACTCACTAGAGATCGACGATTGGTAGTTAGACCAAATTAGTTGATAGGCAAAACCAAGTCAATCTTACCAACCCAAAGGCAATCGAAGGCCGGCCAATAATCTCAACTCAACATAGTCGAAGCAGGCCTTACTGAACCAAGTCCCACTGACTGGGTCAGAGGGTAGCTGTGTCGTAAGCCTATACATGTAAAATTCTTGAAACATCATATAACTCCCTCATTAAAGCAGATACAAACATCTAACTTCATATATTGTACCTCATCATTATAAATAGAGGATCATAAAATGAGAAATGTGCTGATAGATAAAACATTGTACTGTTCATTTGTGCATCTCTCTCTCTCTCTCTCTCTCTCTCTTGTCTTATATTCTAACCCATGAGGTGTGATGCACGGACAGACCATGATTCAACAATCAAATTATATTACACCACTCAAATCTCCTTCAAACCAAAAAATAAAATATTACATTGTTCTGCATCATATATAAATGTAAAAAATAAAATTCATATGAATTGGGCGGTATATATGTTATTGTCTCATTATTTAATTTTTTTTAAAAGTGTAGGGAGCAATTCCAAATAATTATTAATTAATACCCCAAAATTTTATTGTAGGAAAATTGAATGAGAATAATGTTTAATCAAACAGGAATATAATATAGAAATAAACTAATTATCTACATATTCATCTAAAACTAAATTTTAAAAATTTTATTATTTAAATAATAATAATGATATCTGCCCCACTTTCTCTCCAGCGACAATCGACAATCCAACTTCAACGATTGCAACGGAGATCACGACCTTCCACTTTGCCGTAAGACGCTATCAGATCCTCCACCGCCGGCACCGCGCACCCGAACACAACCATGGCGGTCGGATCCTCCTCCACCACCGGGGGCCACCCGATCCCTTCCCAATTCCATTTTCCGCTCCCGAACTCGCATGCGAACACCTCCCCCCTTCCCTCCAACTCATACAAGAATCCAAATCCGCCCAAGCTCAAAAAACCCACAGCAGGCATCCCCTCGCCACCCTCTCCGGCGATTCGCGCCACCGCTTCCGGCGGCAGCATCCCAATTTCTCGAATCCCGCACTTATCCGGCTCCACCTCCCAAATCCCTAATGCCCCATAATCCATCAATCCAACGACGATCAGCCTATCTGCACCATCTAGGGCATCTGGACCCATCCCTATTGCTGAAATCGAAAGGACATTGCTGCTCAATCTCACCCGGCGGAGCGAGCTCCACCGGCCCAGCGCCAGATCGAACCATGCAAGCCGGCCGGGGTCGCCGCGCTCCACGACGTACAGTCGGTTGTTTGATGCAGCTACGGCTAGCCACGTAGCGGCAGCCGATTTGCGGAGGGGCC